GGGAAGCAGGGGGTACGACGAAAACCCAGAAAATGTGGGAATAGGGGCATCCTGGGATCTGTATCTACTTGTTTGTGTGCCCCTGGGCCCCCCCAGAGGGAGTCGGCCGATATCGAACGATCTGCGCGATCGGGAATCCGCCATCGCTCAAGTCGGGCCTGTCCCCCTACAGGAGGAGTATTCAAAACTAGTCCAAAGAATAGTCTGGGGATGATTTTTGGTATATTTTCGACGATTTTTGAATACTTTTAGATAATTTTCAATTTCTCCTCCAAAATTCGCCTGTAGGAGGACACGCCCAACCTAAATACAGGCGGGGTTAACAAAACCAGCGCCGAGAAATCCTCGCGCCACGGGCCTGCCGTGCACAAGAAGTGCAGGTGCCCCGAGGCGGGCAGTGCTCGGCGAGACGTGTGCGAGGGCATGGGCATCTGGGGCGGCAAAGAGGGGGGGTGATGACTAGGGGGGGTGGATATCATGGCGTGGGCCATGGTATTTCCCAAGATTTCACGGCGCCTCTTCTCATTTCGTTCCGTCCCTGGCCCCCCCTTGGGCCGCGCACATGCCGCCGGTCATGCTTTGCGCCCCCGTCCCTCTTGGACGCTCCCCTCTTGGCCGCCCCCGAGGGCAGGTGCAAGGCTCGTTTCGATTCCTCCAATTCGATTCGATGTCGATGGCTCCCGACTCCGATTCGATGCCACTTCGGATTCCGATTTTTTGGGTTCCAGTTTCGCAATAGGGACGTAATAACCTGCGGATTTCCGCCGATTCGACTTCTCCCGACTCGGCTGCCGATTTCTGCCGATCAGATTCATTCCGATCGCCGATCCGACTTATCGATTCGATTCTGGGCTTCTCCTGCAGGTGGGACGGCAAGTGGACGGTCGTTTGCAACGACGGGCCGTCCGACGGGACGATAGACGTCAAGAACATGCAGTTTAGTTACAGCGGCTTTCCCTGGAGGATCCAGACAGAAGGCACGTCCATCTTCATGCGGTGGCCGCACAATCCTGAGGAGCCGGGGAGGGGGATGGGACTGGGGTGCTCGTGGCAGTGGTAGGGGTTCCCAGCGAGGGGAGACGGAAATGCTTTTTCTTGATAGCGACTGGTCAGTAAAGTGTACAATCCGCGCCTGAGATCTCATATCATCCGCAAAGGTGGCGGCGCGTATGCATTGCCGCGTGATTTTGTAAGGCAATCGATGTTGTAGGTGCGTTGTGTTGTAGGTGCGCGTGTGCATGTTGCATATGCGTGTCTGTATGTATATGTGAGAGAGGGACATAGATGTGTGTATGCATGCATGCATGTATGTCTGTCTGTCTGTCTGTCTGTCTGTCTGTCTGTCTGTCTGTATATATGTATGTATTCATGTATGTATGTATGACTGCATGTATGTAGTGTAATATAATGTAATGCAATGTAATGCACTGTAATGTATTGTATTGTACTGTATTGTATTGTAATGTAATGTAATGTAATGTAATGTAATGTATTGTAATGTAATACATGCATGCATGCATGTATGCATGCATGCATGTATGTATGTATGTATATATGTATGTATGTATGCATATATGTATGTATGTATGTATGTATGCATGCATGCATGCATGTATGTCTGTCTGTCTGTGTCTGTCTGTCTGTCTGTCTGTCTGTCTGTCTGTCTGTCTGTCTGTCTGTCTGTCTGTCTGTCTGTCTGTCTGTCTGTCTGTATATATGTATGTATTCATGTATGTATGTATGACTGCATGTATGTAGTGTATTATAATGTAATGCAATGTAATGCACTGTAATGTATTGTATTGTACTGTACTGTATTGTATTGTAATGTAATGTAATGTAATGTAATGTAATGTATTGTAATGTAATGCATGCATGCATGCATGCATGTATGCATGCATGCATGTATGTATGTATGTATGTATGTATGTATGCATATATGTATGTATGTATGTATGTATGTATGTATGTATGCATGCATGCATGCATGCATGCATGCATGCATGTATGTATGTATGTATGTATGTATGTATGTATGTATGTATGTATGTATGTATGTATATAGGTAGGTAGGCAGGTAGGCAGGTAGGTGGGTCGGTAGGTAGGTAGGTAGGTCGGCAGGCAGGCAGGCAGGCAGGCAGGTAGGCAGGCAGGCAGGCAGGCAGGCATGCATGCATGCATGTATGTATGTATGTATGAATGTATGTTTGTTTTGTATGTATATATGTATGTACGTGTGTATCAATGTATGCATGTAGGTAGGGGGGTAGGTAGGTAGGTAGGCAGGTAGTTATGCGTGCATGCATGTGTTTATGTATGTTTGCATGCATGTATTTATGCATGCATGCATGCATGTATGTATGCATGCCTGTATGCTTGTATGTATGTTTGTAGACGTGCGTGCGTGCATGTATGTGTGTCTGTCTGCCTGTCTGTCTGTCTGTCTGTCTGTCTGCCTGCCTGCCTGCCTGCCTGCCTGTATGTATGCATGCATGCATGTATGTATGTATGTATGTATGTGTATGTGTGTATGTGTGTATGTGTGTATGTGTGTATGTGTGTATGTGTGTATGTGTGTATGTGTGTATGTGTGTATGTGTGTATGTGTGTATGTGTGTATGTGTGTATGTGTGTATGTATGCTGATATATGTATATACACATATCACTATGCAGATCGTATGCATCCGGGCGCTCTGTCGTATATGTGGGCTGTGGGTGCAATTGCCTTTTTTCTTCGACTTCTGCCCTGACATACCCGTTCCTTCTCTTCACGCTGCCCGCTCTCCTGTCTCTGTCCTCTGGCCCGCGGGGGAGGTGATCCAGCGGATGAAGTATGCTGCTGACCGGAATGAGGTCATGTGGGAGGCCAGCAGCGGCTCTCGCGAGTTCGGCTTCTTCCTTTGGCAGAAGGACGGGGAGGGGGGAAAGTTGGCGGGCAGCGTCTTCACTCTGGAACGCGACAGTTGGTGGACAGGAGGAGGAGGAGGAGGAGGAGGAGGAGGAGGAGGAGGAGGAGGAGGAGGAGGAAGAGGATGAGGATGAGGATGAGGAGGAGGAGGAGGAGGAGGAGGAGGAGGAGGAGGAGGAGGAGGTGGAGGCGAAGGAAGAACGGAAGGAATTGAAGGCCTTCGGCCACTGCCGCCGGCTCCGCTGCCCCAGTTATCGAGGACTCTCTTGTCCCCATCGTCGCCGTCCTGATCTCTGTCCTGCTGATCCTCTCATCCAGTTGGCCCTCTCAGATCCCCCCGGAGGCTAAACGGGATCTTCGTGCTGCCCGTGTCGAATTTATTTGAGCTTTGGGAGGCTTCTCACGGCGCTCTGGGAGTAAGATTTAGCTCTCTTATGAAATCCGGAAGCGTTTTGCGAGAGATCGTGGCCCTGGGAGCGCGGATCTCGGAAACCCTCAGAGGTGATGGTTACAAGCCCCGCCCCGCTTGGGGATCGGGAGCGGGGAACTTGCAGGGGTGGAGCAGGATGATCCTGCTACCGCGTTCAACCTCTTACGTCCACGGCCACACCAGCACCCAAGCCAACGCAGTATGATGGCTCATAGGAGGGGCGGGGCATGAGGGAAAGGAACGTGAGGAGGAAAAGGAGGAGGAGGAGGGAGAGGAAGAGGACGAAGAGGAAGAGAAGAAGGAAGACTTGTCACCTGTGTGCAGATCCTTCCTCCTCCTTCCCCCTTGATCCTCGTCGCTGGTCGTCGTCGTCGTCGTCGTCGCCTTCCTCTTCCTCTTTGCTGGCTTGGTCTGGTTTGTCGTGCTCCGGCCTGGCCCGGTCTGGTTTTGTCTGAATTGGCCTGGTCTGTCTTGCTTGGTCTGGCCCAGTGAGGTGTGGTCCAGTGTTATTTCTGGCCTGTCCCTCCACAGGAGGACGATTCAAAAATAGTAAAAAAATAGCCTAGGGACGTTTTTTTGAGTATTCTTGAATATGTTTCGAATGTTTTTGCCTACTTCCCCAATTTTTCACCCAAAATCTCCCTGTAGGGGGACAGGCCCGACCTAAGTCTAGTGTGGTGTGGACTGGCCAGTTCGAATCTTCTCTGGTTTCCTCTCATCAGGTCTGCTTTGGTCCTCTCGGGTCTTGTGTGATCTGGTCTGGAGCGGTTGGTTCGGTTGTGACCTGCTTTGGTCTGTGGCGCTGTGATCTTGTCTGGTCTGTTGCGAACCTCTTACTCTTCTTCCTCCTCCTGGGGCTCGTGGGTCCTTCTTAGGGTCCTCTGTAGGCCCCTTTCTGCTTCTGGGGGAGTGGCTGTGGATGCACAGCTCCTGCACAATTCACGAGAGACCGTGACCGTGGCAGCCCGGATCCAGCGTATGACCACAAGCGCGAAGCGGTTTACGTTTGGCTTTGACAAAGGAAGGCTGTCGAGTTGTCGAGTTGATCTCATAGCGTTATGACAGTACATTGTGATGCTCACTTGAGGCCTCCCAGAGAGATGGACATCCATGGCATCAGGAGCGAATGAGGATTGGTGCTGTACCGTCTGCGTGGCCGAGGTTGTGACCGCTGGGAGAGGGTAGAGGAAAGGCACGGCCCCCTCCACGGTCCATTTCGATCCGATCGATCCGACTGGATACCGTTTTCGGCTGGCTGGCCCCAGCCGATTCGATTCCAGTATTCCGACGATTCCATGCGACCCGATGCTTGCATCGCGCTGGGGTGCATCCTGGCACGGCCGATCCGATTCGATCTCGGCTCCGTGCCGGTGCGGCCCGATCCGATGCGCGTTCCGACTCGATCCGATTTGGCGATTCGATGCTGGCTGATCCCCTGCCTGGCCCTCTCCTCCCCGCCGGGGGTCGAGGGACAGCGCTGCAGGAACGGGAGCGCCAGTCTCTTCTTTTCTCGGTCCCCTCCCCTCCCCTCTCCTCCGCCACTCGGGCTCTGCGCCCCTTCACTATACCCCTCTCCCTTTTGCAATTCCAGAGGGGGCCGTGGCCCCTGCAGCTTGCGGAAGGTCGCGCTCCCGGGATCGCGGAGCCGCTGTGCTCCGCGA